CTTATGTTTTGAATTTTTTATGGTAAAAAATGAGGAAGTGTGCTGTTAGAAAAGTTATAAAAACTAATCCTTCTGAAGGACTCTTGGGAACTCATTGCTTTAAAAAAAAAAATTTTTCCTTTATTTTCCTGCTAAACTTTAGAGGCAGTATGTGGCATTGTATGGCTGTGATTAAAATGTTAGGTAAGCATCTCTCTCTGGAGACTTGTTCGGTCATGCCCTACACCTGAGTCAGGACAAACATGGACTTTTACCATTCCATCACATTTCTGGGAACTGGATCCTTTTCTGGAGCAGTAAGGAATGACATGCATATACTCAATTTTCTATTTTACTTTTAGGAATGGCCAGAATTGTCTTTTGAAGTCTTTCCAGACCACCCTGTGTTACAGCCATAACTCAGTATTTGTAAATGTTTGTTTTTTAAAGCAGCACTGCTTTTGAAAGGAGCCCCACCAATGAGTTTCTTGAAGCATGGAACAAATCTTGGAATAGATTAAAACTTGCACAATAAATAGGCTACTTAAACTAATTTCTCAGAACTAGGTGGTCTCATTGTTCATTTGGATATTGTTTTCTGTTTTGAGATAAATTTGTCGTGTGTCCTACTCACATGAATGCGTAGATACRTGAAAACTTTTTATCAGCTTACAAAATGTCACTGATTTAAATGATTCAAACTAGTACAGAGAACTAGAAATACGTTGCTGGAATAGAAACTTTGAAAATGCTTTAGATAGACTCTACTTTTTTTTTTTTCCACTTGATGTTGTTCAAGATAGACATCTCCAGTGTGAACAACTGCCTTGAGAATTAACTTGTACAAATAGTATTATTTAGATCCTGGGCTTGATTCTCACGTTTTGATATGTCCATTGCATCTCATCCAGTACTGAAAGGGGTAAAATAGGCAAGTAACTCCCTTTATGTGAGCTGATAGATATTTTGAATAGTTAGACAGCTTTAGAGGTGAGTCTGAGACCTTTTCAATACACAAACATTTCAGTGCTTTTTGAAGATGAGAGAACAGGGGTAGAAGTAGAGGTAGGGCAAGGCAGAAGAGAGCTGGTGGTAGGAAAGGGGAGGGTTTTGTCTCTCCATATTTTTTAAATTGAGTAAATCTCTCCAAGTTTACTTTGTCATACATTTTATGAGGCTTTGCAGTTTATCATTATTGCAGTTAAACTGCTGTAAGGTTTGATTTTGTTTTTTATGAAAACATTGGCAAAAATTCCCTCTTCTGTGAAGGGAAAGAAGCAGGAAATGTCAGTGAAAGAGCTCAAGCTGTTTATAACTGTGTGTGCTTTATTTAGACTATGGTATATATGATGTGGGAGTCTGGAAACCCGGATTCTGACTGACGCCAGCAGAGCATTCTGAGCTGGTGCTTTGGGCCCCCTGATTCCTGCACTCTGACGTTTGTTTGCAGAATTCAGGGGTCAGGTGTGCTTTCAGTTTTGGTTGGCTTTTGTTTCCTCACGGTTAACCATTATGGGGAAGAATCTGTAAACAACAATCCCTCATTTCTGCCCTTTTTCATTTTTGTACAATGCTAGCAATAATTAATGTGAATACTTTTTTCCCAAATATTTTCAGAATTCTTTAGAATCTGCTTTTAGGCAGATTCACTAGGTGAAAGCAATCAACTGAAGCAATTTTTGTCTAAGAAAGGAGATAGACTCTCTTGCAGTGAGCTTTCTATAGTACCTGGAATGTCTTGTCCCCTGAGGGTTGGAAGGCTCACTGGGTAGTGTAGGTTGAGCACCATTCTGACTCCACTTGACTATCAGTTAGTGGCTGCTTTCCTGCACCGTTTTCAGTAGTGGGATATCACTTAAATTCTCAAGAAGTGCTCAGGGCAGTACTCCTTAGGGAGTGAAAAGACATTATAACAGTAAGATAGTGACTGACCGTGCAGAAATTCTGAAAGAGTATTGCTAGTTTTGATTGTCAATAGAAAAAGTTACAAAAAAATTGCTTTTAGAAGAGCTGCAGTGTTGAAAGAGAGTGTTGATGATATGAATTACATGTTCACAGCACTTACTGTTTTTTCTGTAAATGTCTCCCTACTTTCTGCTGTTTCAAGGCATTAGTCTGCCTGAGCCCAAGCACTGGCAGGAAAATTACCTGCTGTGAAGTAGGTGATAAAAACGCCTGCCAATAATCAGCTGTTAGGCTCCTGAGAGAACTCTTGAGAAGAACCAATTCCTCTCTGTTATTTTGCTGGCTGGGATGTTTCTGAAGGCTTATAATTTTGTTCTGCAGCAATCACACAATGTTTCAGTGGGTAGGACTGGATTACAGTGTTTGCACACACAAACACAGGACTCTTAATGTGTACACCTGACACACCTATACTTCAAACATATGTCTTCATTTAACTGCAAAAAATGGGTGCAAAATGTCTTCATGCCATGGTTGTATCATTGTGTCAAAGACACAAGTGATACAAATGCACGGCGTGACTCTAACAACTTGGTGAAAATGAGCTTTTTTAGCTTTGCTGTTGTTGTGTTCCTTGGTGGAGGCAGCAGATAGATATGTGCTTTACTGGGCAGAAAATTTTATTAAAAATAAATGGAACCTATGGCCAGTGTTTTTATCTGTTGATGGCCAGCTTGTGCTGTTTTCTTTCCTTACATCAGAAATTATTTTAGTCATGAAAGATAAGGGGGCTCTGTAAGTTTCCTGCTGTGTTCAGCAATTTGTGATGAATAAATGTTTCTCCACTTYATGTCCATTTCTTTGGTATTTTTGATTTTGCCCAGCCTCTGCTAAAGTTCATTTTGCGTAGAAGTGAAGAATTTTAGTTGCCTTTATCAGCCTTAATCTTTTTCCTTGACACAAGAATTTCTTTCCTTAGCATAGTTCACTGGCAAAAAGGGTTTTTTTTTTTCTTCCTTTGCTGGGAAAAAAACACAAGGAAGAACCTAGAAGACTCCTTTCCTTTATTGTCTCTGGTAATGTTGTTGGGGAATAGCTTTGTGTAACGGAAATACTGTCAACGTCCCTAGTGAGAGAGCTCTCGAAGGGTTGAGCCAGAAGTGGAACAGGAGGAAAGAAAACTCTGTTGGCTGCTCCACAAGTACCAGAAATTGCAGCTGACATTTCTTGTCAGGCAGTTTCTGGAGGTGTCTGTGGTTTGTCACAGGTGTTCATGCTGTTCTTGTGAACATTGGAATCAGGATGGGTAATTCAATGCACAAATCCATTTAGTGCAGCTCTCTCTGTGTCTTCTCTTAAAATCATATTTGTATTTTCCTTCTTGTACCTGGCTTGAAAGGAATGAGATTTTTTGGATGGAGATGAGCTGGCTGTGAACTTACTGTGCTGAAGTGAAGCTAATGCTCATGAGGATGAGAGGTCACTTTAAGAGTGCCTATTTAGATCAGCATCTGAAAAACGTTCTGTAAAGGTGCAAATAAATGTGTTCCTCGACACATTATTTGCATCTTTACATCCTGTGGTTGTGTTGCAATAATCCATTTGTTTTCGTGGCAGTGTTTCTGACATGGTTCCTGTGACTTCAGGAGGCTGCAGCAGTTCCTGCTTCCTGTTTTACATGTAAATGCTTAGTTGCAGGGAGTGTAGGCAATACACAGTATCCTATTTAGTACTTAGTGGTTCTATYTGTAGTGCTTCACAAATGTATTTAGTGCTTCACAAAATCAGTGCTCAAGTTAGATACAGTTACAGTTTGATAAAATTGTTWTGAAAGAGATTTGACTCAAGCTTTTTCGTCCAGTTGTTGCAAAAACAGAATAAAATTGATGCAGCCTCTCTTAAGGGGAAAGAATGCATTTTGAATTAAGCCTTTTTATTTGCCAGTGCTTGTGTTCAGACAGTGCTCAGCTTACTAMGGTTAAKTTGCTCTAGAAGACACTGAGGTGAGGTCTCTTAAATTTGGACTAGGAGTAGAGCATTTTGCATTTCTTTTTGTCAGTGATTTAACCTTCAGTGTCACTGATACTCAAAAGCAATTTTCACATTTGATGGATGTTTGGTAGCCAATTGAAAATTGCTGGAGGTTCTGGAGATGTCATTTTGTTCTAAGCTGCTTATGGGAAACTGAGCAGGAAAAARCCAAAGAGAGCTTTGTAGCCAAAATCTCTACCAACAAGCAAAAACAGGATGGATGCAAAAACAGCTCTCTGGTCGTTATTTTAGAGCTTTATTTTTTCATTGAAACTGGCTTCCTGCAATTGTTCCCAAAACTGATGCGTGGTGTTTTTTAAGAAATAAGAATGCTGAAGCCTTTGGCTTCCATGGAAGAAGGGCTTTATTGATTTCAGACAGTAGGAAATGGATAATTTCATTTAACACTTTAAAGGGAATTGTCACTGGCTTGTCACTCTATCTTTTCTCCCCTGTGTAATAAATAGAAGTTGTAAAGTTTCCAGAGGTAACTGGTTTTGTCTCCATCATTTGGCACTCATCACAGAGATCAAAGCTGGTGTAATCTTTGGCCTTCCTGTACTAAATTTTGKAGTTTTCGGCAGCATTTGTGTTTCCAATAATGTAGCTGGGCATACTTGCTGTTTGCAGTAAACCCAGAATTTCAGTTCTTCCTAAATCTGTAAAACATGGATTCTAAAACAATTGTTTGCAGATGCCAAGAATCCTGCCAAGAATCTGTTTAGTGCTGAGATTGTCTTGCGTTTGGGACTGGGAGGTCTTGGGGATGTGGGTAGAACTTGCTGTTACCCTGAAGCCTGAGTTGCTTTATTTTTGGGCATGCTCTGAACCTGTGTGTTCACAGCAACAATCACAGTCACACTAAAATGAGAGGGACTAAAGACCCCTTGGCAGGGGTGGTTCAGCTTCCCCTGGCTTAGCAGACCTGACCTCCTGCAGCACTGCCTTGCATAGTTGTTTATTAGTCCAGTAAGTACTGAGAGATTGGAGGTGGAACAAGGTGTTTGCTACAGAAGGTATTGTTCAGAAGTGATAAATGGGTTAAGGAGTGACTCTTACCAGTTGTGGTGGTCTCTCTCTTGCAGTTTTGGAGCCCTTATTGCCATTGGAGTTACTGTTGTTGCTGTCATTGCTATTACTCTTATTCTGTGTCTCACCTGTTCCTGTTGCTGTCTGTACAAGGCATGTCGAAGACCACGGCGTAAGTACCTCTGTATTTATTTTCTTTTGAACAGGATTTCCCCCCTGCCACTGGAAAATTGTGTTCCTATAAAAGGTGAAAATACTCAGAAGTCGCCGTACCTAAATATTAAAGATAAGCATTTAAGCCGCTTCCAAATGGGAAGTTGCAGTGAGGTGTTTTGGAATGTTTCCTGAGCTTTTAGAAGTTCTCTTACCCCGTGCCCCATATAGGGTGGTCTGGGAGTCGAGTTTTTTGTTCAGGGACGCCCAGCACTAACTATGTTCCTTTTCCTTGCCTGTAGCTGTGGTGACCACCACAACRGTCGTTCACCCTCCCTATTCCCAGCAACCAGCAGTGCCACCCAACTACCCAGCAGCTCCGTACCAAGGCTACCAGCCYGTGTCTGTCCAGCCCCAGCCGGGAGTGCCAGTGGCTCCGTACCCTACACAGTACCCTCCCCCTTACCCCATGCAGCCAGCGGGACCCCCAGCTTATCATGAAACCATGGCAGGTAAGGCAGCACCGAGTGCTTCTCCRTTTTCTGTGGCTATGTTAATATAAATGTAAACAAATGAAGTAAAACTCAAGTTTTGGTGGATGCTGTTATTCACCCTGSTGGAAATTTCCCTATCACCATTTCTATGTTAAGCATTGCTAGAGGAGGTGTGAGCTGGAGCTGTACTGGCAAAGTTTGGCAATGTGTGGGACTTGCAGAGGATCCAGCAGARCATTTTACTCATTCAGCTGAGGTTTGATATTAAAATCAAAGCCAATTAACATATATACRCACASACATATATATGTATATACAGGAGTTGGATGTTTCTACATTTSCCTTCTAATCTAATATTAGCTAGCTCTATTCTGTAAGAGCATGTAATAACAGGACAAGAGGAATGGATTCAAACTAAAAGACAGTAGGTTTAGATTAGTTGTTARGAAAAGATTGTTTACTTTGTGAAGTTTGTGAGGTCATGGCACATGTTRCCCAGAGAAACTGCAGACACATCCCTGGAAGTGTCTGAGGCCAATTTRGATGGAGCTGTGAACAGTGTGGTCTCGTGCCAATGGCAAAGGRGTTGGAAAAAGATCATCTTTAAGGTCMCTTCCAATCCAGGCCATGCAGTGATTCTGTAAGGTGTTTCAACCTGTGCACAGATGGTATTTTCTAGTAGTTTGTCACTATGTTTATAGAATATCAGTATGTATATAGACTATCTGGTGAATTTCAGACAAGTCTGTTGACAACTCCAGTTAGAATTACCAGAATCCTTTTTTTTCAGCTTTCTTTCTTTCCATAGCCTTGTTTTCATGCAGTCTTACTGTTGCAATGACTAATTCCCACTTCTGCTGGTAATAGCTGTTCTCTGAACAGTTGGCTTCTGGCTGTTCAGAGGGGCCAAAATGAGTGAGGCTGTTAGCTGTAGGATCTTCAAGCCCYCTTACAAACCTCACTGTTCATCCTTTTAAGTAACAAGCAAGGTGTAGTCCTGGCTAGTGGATAATGCTCTTAAAAAGTAACTTWCAGGACAACTCAAATATAAAATGGCTTTTCATGGTCTGAAGCATTTACAAACCAGTTAGAAACTGTACATTAATAATGTGCAAACCAGCCCCACATATGAAAACAGTGACTTGGCTGGACTGTTGACTCTATTTTTCTGTTRTAAATGCCAAAGAAGCTGTGGGTTTTATGGGGTTATGCCGAAGTGCTTTGGCTTCATCTTTTTCATATGGGGGAGCCAATAAACTAGTCATTTTATTTCTCCTGCTCTCTGGTTTCTCAGACTATTGCTGGTTTGTTAGTTCTTAGAACAGTTAGGGTTTTGGTTTTTTTTTTCTGGGAACATACCAAAGCACTTTCTATGTTGGCAGCTGAAAATGCCTCACAGTGAGAGTTGTTYCCTTCATTTCTCCTGTCTGTTAACCAAGGAGCAGGCTCTTAATTAGGTCACCTGCCAGGGGAGAATACCTGCTCTACCATGCAGGAGCCAAACCCACTCACTTTACAAGATCAGCTGCGATAACCACACTTGCACTTTCCAGGGATCTGATCAGATGCTACTTGAACAAACTTGTGCTGKTTGACAGACCTAAAAATTAAGATGCCAGAGAGCATCTTTTTGAGAGCAGCTTTTCTCAAAACAGTAGAAAATAAGGATCTCTTCCAAGGGATGCACATTTGGTATATAAGTCAAACTGTTTCATGTGCTCAGTAGTGGTAGGATATGTTTTCCTTTTTATTTTACTTTCTTAATTAATTCCCTGACACTTACAGGAAAGCATTTTCCCTGAAGGAATCCTAAGATAATTTCTCTCATCCTTTTCCCCAGTGATTTATTTTTTCTCAGCACACTTATCAATTCTATCCTGTTGTTTGTGCACCCCTGACTTCCACTGTCTCTTTTTTGGACCAGATCTGTTCCCTTGTTTTCAGACTAAGTTCTGCTCTGAAGGCTATTCATGTACACTTAGCATCAGAAAAACCCCAAAGCCAACAAGAACAAAGGTTTTTGTGATCTTCTGAAATGCAGATGTTTTATGAGTGAGCACAAGCTGTTTYCAAGTCCAGTTTAGATACCGGCTAAGTTGAACCGCTTAACTGTGCACTCAGAACAGAAGTTGATATTTAATATGTAGAATTCAGAATGTGTGTTTTACAAATCTKTTTTCTCTTGTGTTTGCTTTTGCAGCTGGTGCTGGAGCCCCTTACCCTACTCAGCCCCCTTACAATCCTGCTTACGTGGATCCTCAGAAGCCCACCTATTGAAAAGCTCTCTTACTGTGCTTCTGCATACAAAACTTTTCAAAATATAATTTGTTCTGTTTACACCATGCACCTGTACTATATTTTTCTGGAAGACAGCAATCTTTTGTCTAAGTAAAGTGAAAATTATTCAGTATATTTTTTTTAATGCTCCAAGGAAGGAGTAATTTTCTGCAAAAGTTAATTTATACCTCAAGCAAATACAAAAAGAGATTTTGCTCTAGATACAATGAGAAAAGCTTGAAGAAGGAGTGTTTCAGAAATACAGAACCACAATAACATTTGCTGTGCAATAATTTTGAAAGGAATGGTCTAACATGAGCATTGTCAAATACCCAAAGCTGAAGAAATCTTTTGCACGGTATTAAAATGTAAAARCCTCTGAGAAACTACCTGATACATATTATGTAAGTTCTGCCTGTTTTGAAGCTATTATTGTTAGGTAAGCTACCACTTAATACATTTCATTTACCATTCAAAAGGGAATTTTCTTATTTTTCAACACATTTGCCTTTGGTAAGGGGTAGCAAACAAGTTTGTCTTTGCTAGTTCTAAATAGCACGAGTTGGTAATTTCCTTGTTTCCTGTTCCAATTTTAAGGCTTAAAAACTGTGCCTCTGTTGGGTGTTATAGCTAGAAATTAACAAACTCTCTGCCACTTAATGGACCAAATTGATCAAAAGCTGAAAACCTGAAAATTCTTCATAAAAATCATTGGACCAGTATTTCTTGTTCAGGTATTATTGGACAAGCTTACTTCAGCCATCTGTTGTTGATGAGTTTGGAAGAAAAATCAGCCCTTGAATCGTATGTTAAGCAGAAGAAACTTGGCAGTTTTCAGTCGTGCCTCATCACAGGGAAGGAATTWGTATTACAGGAGAGATGGGATGTCAACAGCAGATTGGGGTTTTGAAATGCTCAGAGTTTTCCATTGTCTGTAGTGGGAACTGTAGATGGCARGAACCTAAGAATTAGAGACCTTTATAAACCCACACTCCATTGGAATAACAATATGCTGGGTGGGGGGACACAGTAGGGATTAAACCTTCCTTTTGTCTTCAGCATTCCCATAAAGCTGAGCAGAGAATGAGAAGTCAGGGAAAAGAAGGATTTGGTCACAGCCAGGTAATGCTTTTAGTCATCAAACATCTTGAGACATCCTCATGACTATTACCTCTGCTGAGACTTTAGGCTCTATGAATMTTTTATTGCTCAAACAAATAAGGTGGATTTTTTTTTTCAGTATCCTCAACAACTTTGTCATTTCCAACATTTAAATACAATTTGTTGTTATTCCTCATAGAACTATCTAGTTTTTTGTATGTATTGCTGTGACATAATCAGTGAAATAATTTTAACATACATTTTACACGAATTTTATTTTTTTTAGAGAGGCCATGGAGCCATTTGTCCTGTGATTCTGCATTTGGGGTATATTACTGTTCAGTGGCATTGTTTTACCTCACAGAGTGGATGGAAATYGCTGCTATCAAAGGCAGCCTTGTTCCTCTTTCTGATTTTTTGAGTCTATTTTTGGATTATTCYGATTCTTTTTTTAAGAAAGTTTTCAGGGCATTTCAGAAGAAACTTGTAGAAAGTTTTCACATGGGGGCTCATGGCAACCTGTGCCCCTCTGTTACACCTCTCTGATTGATGAAGTTAATAGCATGAAATGRTGCCAAGAGGCACTCACAGAGCATGTATCCATGTATCCTGTCTGTGTGTTCCTCCTCTTTCCTGCCTTGTCAGCTGAGAAATTGGGCAAAGCTTCATTACACTGTTTGGTGTTACATGGGAACAACCAAAAATTCATGGTGTCTCCTGTATGGAGGAGRAAGTGTTGCCTTAGAAATCCGGAATGTTTCTGTGTGGGAAGGCACTGAGTAACTGCAGAAATAAATCCCTTGCTGCAGATCCTACCCCTGGTGTTTATTTGTGGAGAAGGAGGGCAGAGATTGCTCCAGCACCTTTGTTAGCCTGGGTGGAGCCAGACCAGAGAGGGACACTCGTGCAGTGTCCAGTGTGGAGCTTCTTGAKGTTGTTACTGTGCCCTGTTCTTCCTGTCCTCCATCTGGTGTGACAGAGGAGCAGTTTGGGGCACTCACAGTGTGGTGTTTGGGTTGTGAAAGGGAAATCTGCAGTTTCATCCATTTCAGGATGGCTCACTCATCATCCCCAAGGAGATGGGAGAAAGTCAAGTGGCAGCAATAACAGACATTCCCAAATGTGTGGGTTTGGTGTGGAAGTTGTATAGACCAGATTGTCCTGCATTGTCACTGCTGTGTGTGCGGTGGGGACAGATGAGGGGTGGGGTTAAGGAGCCTGAAAATGGACCCCTTCAGTGGACATCTGCAAATGACAACTATGTACAAGTGAAGAGGTCAATCATTAATATCCAAGGAACTGCGTTAGCAGTACCATTACMAATTCAGTTACAAAACTCACTGAAAGAAAATGGTCCAGTTCACAATTTATCAGAAGTTTTCTTATTGTTAGTGCATTAATCATCATTAACAATGAGGTGTAGGACCAAATTTTGGCTCTTGCCCTGCAGCCTTGTTAAAGCTTGTTTTCAAATAGAGAAGAGARTGGGATGGTTATAGAGAAAATTGAGATGATCCATAAATTTTCAGTTTAAGCACTGCTGATGTGTCAGTCCCAGTAGCTGTTGCCTTCACATCACACTAGTACTCCACAGTGCTGTGGAGAGGAGGGAGGGAGCTAAGACTTTAAATGTTGATATATCTTTTTTTTTTTTTTTTGTAATTCTGTAAGTGCCTTTGTTTCAGAAATGTTTTGTGGAATTAAAGACAGTAGAACATTGAATTTACTAGATAATCATTGCTGCTTTTGTTACATATTGTAACCTCGCTTTGTATGTTGTTTGTAGGTTAAACATAAGTATTCAAACCAAATGGCATAAACTCTATGCACCTTTGTAATAAATGCAGTGTTTGAAATACATTCTGTCAGCTTGGTTTTCTTAGCCTCATTTTGAGTATTATTTAGGGTTGTATCTGCAAAGCTACATTTTACTTCATTGTGTTTGACAGCTCCTGTTACTGAGTGTMTTTTAAGTCACCTTGTATCATGAGTATCACTTTTGGTGGTGGAGACTGAAGCCTGACCAAAATTACAGGTCCCCACATAAAGCAAGGACATTGTAAATTCGTGAATGATCCACTGACCAAATGATGCCAAGTAAATCCAAACTGATTGAATCTAAAGCCTTGTCTGGCCTAAGGAGTCTGTTAAATGCATGAAGTGGAATTGGCTACCAAATCCCAAGACACTTGAGAAGTCTCGTGTAGACAAGATGGTGGATTTCAAAGAAGTCTGTCATTTCATTAAAGTTTAATCTTCTCAACCTGTTTAGACTTGTGTGTTGAGTATTATGCCTCATTTAGCAACTTCACCAATTCAACATGTGGTAAGTGATGCTTTCTACTCTGTGTGAAAATGTTTTTGCTRATCTATTTGTGTATTTTACAGTTTTGGTAAAAATGCTTTAGGTTGTATTCACACACCTGACTTATTAATCTTTAACTTAAAAATATTTTTTGAGCAGGTCAAGACTACTCTTCATATGAYACCACACAGCTGTGAATTGATGTTTTGTGCATCATCATGATTACCTTGTATTGCCAGCGAAGTTCTAATGTAGTATTTAAAAGAAAAACAAAGGGAGAAACACAGAAATTAAAAAAAAAAAAAACCTAAACCCAATCAAAACCCCACAATAATTGTARTGTTACTTCTTGAATTTGTTGGAGTCAGCTGCAGGCTGATAATGTGATGGAGGTGCAACATAGATCATTTCACTTCCAGTTTTATTTCACATTCTCTCTTAGTTGACTGGTGGCAGCAGGCAAAATGTTCCTAAAAACCTAAATGCTCCTAAAAACCTAAATCTAGAATACATACAATAATGTTTGSGCTAGAAAGGACACCAGAAAATTATAGTTGTGATGATTTTGTTGCCACTGCTATTTAGTTAATCTGTTTCTCTTTTCCCAGTGACTTCTAGCAGGTGCACCTGTGCAGTGTGGTGAAGTGACATGCAGAGAAATGTTCAGAGGAAAGCTAGGTGCCTTCCCCTCTCTGCACACAGGGCTGAGGAGTAGGAGCTGGTGTTTTGATTAAAACCTGCAGATTCCCTTAAGGAGCACATAAGGTTTCAAAGGTACCTTCACCCTTTGTTGCAGCACACTGTCATATAGGAGAGCAAACTGCTGAGCTGAAAAGTTGAGAACCCGGACTTAGGTGAGGAATATTGCTGGTTATGTTTTCATAATGTTTAATCAGCAGTTGTCTATGGTAGRGTGAATTTTTCCAGAACAAAACTTGGCATGCATTTAAAACCCAGGGCAGGGTTGTGTGGGAAGAGCTGGACACACAGGAAGGAAAAACTTGAGCAATTACTGCCTAACAAGCAGTTATTGCCTAWTTTTTTTTCCAGGTATGGAAAMTCAGTTATCATATCTGTGCACTTGTAATAACTCACCCAGTTTGCTTTAGCCAGTGTTTTAGGGCCTGCTTATTCCCTTTGGTTATTATTTGACCTCGTCTAGTGGTTTTTGCAGCCTGTACCACAGGAACCTGGTCAGATTTACCACTTTTCAGTGAGCCAYAGAGGGGAATCACACTTTAGACTGTGAAGGTGTTGGCCCTTGCTCTCGGAAGCACTTTGATAAACTTCAGCCACAGGGGATTTGTAAATCTTTATAAAGCTCACAGATACCTTGTCTTGTCAGTCTGCTAAACTACAATCAACAATGTACAATTTTTAACAATTTACACTGGAAATGTAAGTTTGCATTTGCTGTTACATTCACAGCAGATAACAGATGCATTTGACCTTAATTGTAACTATTTTGCCATTATTACCATAAATAATATTGCAGACTCTAAMTTAATAACATTCAGTTGTTAAGATGACTTTGTTCTAATTGTTTAGCACAAACTTTTAAGCAGTAGCTCACACTAGTGGGATTAATATGAATAAATCCAATTCAGGTCAGGGATGCTATGTGCTAGAGGATGAGGTATTTTGTATTTGTCACCTTCACCTATTTCAGCTTGGTTTAAAATGATGTGTTTTGAGGCCTGATATGACTCAAAGCAATTATTTGGCTTCTCTGGGGGAGTTTTATTTGGGGGCTGGATGAGCTGTAGAGGCCCCTTCCAACCTCACCAAGTCAATGATTCTGCCAGGTGTAGAAAGCACGGCTCATTGAACAGCAAAAAGCAGCTCTGGTGAGCTTAGCTTAGAGCTRAGGGGAAACTGCCCATGGGCAAGGAAACAGATGGGTGGCTGCTGCTGAGGAATGTGATGATCATGTGTAGAACATGCCTAGTGGCTTTCCTTGTTGCTCAATACTTCATTGTTCAGTCCTGTGACTGTGCTTGATGCCAGAATAAATTGCTTTTYTCAGTTAATATGGAGGCACAGCTTATCTGTACCATGGTGGGGAAATGCAAACTGGCTGTGGAAAAGCTGCTTTGTTGGGAATTCTTCAGGGAGTGAAGAACTGATGGTTGGGGATAATCAGCTGTTGGATACATGATTTGTTCTTTTTAATCCTGAGAAAAATTCCAGGAGAATGTAAAAAGGGAAGAATTACAGAAAGTCAGCACAGTCTTAAAATAATCCTGACGAGGTTGTTTACTGTAAATGTCTTAACAAATAATGAGTTATGTTGGTTCTGTATTTCTGCCTTTTTAAGAGTAGTGCCCCATGTTTCCTTAGGAATGTGAACTTTTCAGTCACAKAAAATGCCTTCAATTTTAAAAGCTATGGTTTAATTTCACAATACCATGCTGTTATGTAATTTCTGCCAGTGAAATTGTARAGTTTTGGGTCTGTTTGATGTACGGAGCCTGGATTTTACTACTTTAAAGTCCAGAGTTGGGAGAAAACCCAATGAGAGTGCAAAYACAATATTTGGGTGTTGTCTTTTAGAGGGGGTGGATGGGAGGGGATGCAGAACCAGGAGGGAACAGTTAGGGGTTTTCCTACCAGTTTTTTCCACAGATAACTCTTCTGTTTATATCGAGTTTAGCAATTATCCACTTCTCCCTTTTGCCAAGTTGCCATACACACACCCTTTAGATGAAGCCAGGAATTTTTTAAACAYATTTTTATAACTGGATTGCTCCAASAGTTYGGKATTCCTTAACTRGTTTTTGTCCAAACTGTTCTTAACAGTTCATTTGGTCTGTTTACCCCAACATGGATAAATGTGTCTYATCTCTATGAATTRTTYGGAGAAATTAAGGGYTGAAAAGTGATGGCAGATCACTCCRTTCTKGGATATCTGAGATMCTGTGACTGTCATATCTTTGTTGGACAGCTCTAAGGTTGCCCCTCACAGCAGGCTCACAGCCAGTCACTGCTGTACCACAGCTCCTGCTCCCTSTGCTCTTCTTAAAGGGCTTTTACATGACATCTTCCAGCTCTTCTCTCTAATCCTGAAGACCAGCAAATGCTGTTCAGTGGTTTTATCTTTTTTTTGGGTTGCTTTGTTTATTTGCTTATTTAATTTACATGGACTAGTCAAATGTTTTTTGTCACACCAGCCTCTGCAGCACAGCTTGTCCATGGCCCTGGTGACAGCTCCAGGGTCAGGACCATGCAAGCCCACACAGACTCTGAAAGCTTTGCTGCTTAGGCCTGTGCATCCTTCCTTGCTGCATTTCAGCAGGAAAACGGCTGTTTTCCAGATGCTACAAGGGACCTGAAACCTGTAACTGAGAGGAGCAGTGGGCAGCTTGTGTTTCACAGAAATGACCTGGCCCTGCCTGGTGCAGCTGCTGCTCAGAGAGGAGGAGGCTGAGCCCACATGGGGAGGAGGAAGGAGCTTTGGCCCTCGGGAGATGCTGATTATCCTGATTCTTCCACATTTCTGGGAAAGTTCTTTGCCAAAGCCAAGCCAAGAGCTTGCTGAGCACACTGGAGTGGGCTCTTTGCTCCAGGGCAGGCAACAGCCTCTTTGGGCATGACCASAGAACTGAATGCTTTCCAGTTTTCCAAGGGCTTCCTTCCCACTCTAGTACARTCTCTTGTCCTCCTGGTACCTGGTTTAAGGCTCTTTCTTAACCAACTCCCTGTTGAAAACTGAACATTTTCACTATGACCAAAACCCTCCCAGTCATTCTGCACACATTTAGATATCCTGCTATTGCCTAGGATGCACTYGGCAGCTGTACCATCTTACTCTTTTTAAAGTGAATTATAAAATGTACATTGTAGTATTTTTCATTTTGTCATCGCAGTAGTTACATTTCCAAAAGATTCATGAAACTGAGTGAACTCAGATGCCCAACCCTCAGCAGGAAATTCAAAGCCCTCTAGTGATCTGCCAACTCCTRAGTTATTTCTAGAAGGGTTTTTAAAATCACCATAAACTGTTTACTAATATCAACAATATGAAAATTGTGGAAGTCTCACGGAAAAGTGTTACAGCTACAAACAAAACAAGTGTGTTCAAAAGGCGTCATATGAATGTAGTGATGCCAAACACCTCAACATATTCAGCATCATAAATTCAGCTGTGGTCACAGTAAAAKAGAGAACAGAGAGAAATTTCCATTCCATTCACAGCAGTTTCATACAGGATGAAATTAATAACCAGAACCAGTCATAAGCCATTGAGTGGGTTTGAACAGCAGTATCACTCTCATCAAAATTCCTTTSCTTTCAGCTACACTGAAATGGCACTGAAATAACAGCAAAGAAACATCTCAGTTGTGCTGTGTTTGAGTGCAACCTACAATTATCACTTAAAAGGACGATTTAAAGTTCACAGGCACATTGGCAAWGATGATTCAGAAAGAGGAAGGACAGAGATTTTTGCTCTTTGATGTTGGCTAGCTGGAGTCCATTCCTTGGTCTTCTGGCTCAGGAGGATACAATTCATCCAAAATCAGCTCTGCAACAAAAAATAACCATGTTTCAGAGAGTAACTTTTTCTCATTGATAGAGAATAATTACAGCTGGTATCTGGCTGTAGAAGACTACAGCAAATAGCCTTTGTGAGGTTCCATGCAAACAGGTCTTCAGATTTGTGTTTTATCACACAAACTTCTCCCCCTCTTTTCTTTAATAACTTTTTTAGGGACAACCTTCCACTATGTCAGGTTACTCCAAGCCCTGTCCAGCCTGGCCTTGAACACTTCCAGGGATGGGGCAGCCAAAGCTTCTCTGGGCAACCTGTGCCAGGGTCTCACCACCCTCACAAGGTAAAATTTTTCCTAATATCCAATCTAAACTCCCTCCAGAGGTCTGAGCAACAGCCATCCATGGTACATGTTAAAAGAGACAAGTGCCAGATGAGAAATTTCTATTTCTACAGTGTGGAAAAAAGCCAATGTTTGACCGAGTTTTACCTTCAGAGGCAGTCAGTTTTTGAGTCTTTTTGAGAATGGCTCTTATGCCTGGCATGGCTTGGTCATATTGATGGAGAACTTCCAAACAGTGTTCATGGAACAGTTTATCTTTCTGAGACAGGCTGTGCAACAGTAAAACAGCATCCCGTAAAAACTGAATAACTTGYTCCTTATGTGCACACAAGCTGGTCTCAGATCTTCTAATCTTCATCCACTGTCTGTGCAACATTACAATTAGTGCCTTAATCACCTGCAAGAGGAAAAACAGTGCCTCAGTACCAAAGTAAAAATACAGGAGCAGAAAACTTATTTCATTATGAACTTTATTGCTTAATCTCTTCAAAGTTTCAAATTTCAGAATATTTTCTAGCAAGCCATAGCAAGCTTCTTAGAAGGTGGCATCCTCTAAAGTACAGGACACTTCCGTTTCACTACAGCAAATWAAAAAAAAAGGAAAAAAGCAATTTCAGCATTGACAGTAAAGTTCTCAGCAGGTTAAACTGGGGGATTGTGGTGAACGTACCTCGAGGCTGCACTGACAGTCTGTGCCAGGAAATAACACTGCTGGTCTGGAGCACCACATGCAGCGTGTCAGGAGCCTGACTGTCTGTTACAAACACAGCTTGTGTGAGAGTCAGTATTAAGATATGATTATTCATTGCTAGTTTCACATATTCTTGGGTTATTTTTTTCTCTTAACAGTTTATATCTTTTCTCTCAAATTTGTACAAGTTTTTTTCCCCTGCAAAACTTACAAGACATAAAATTTGCCTTGCACAGACACCTCAACTTTCTAATAAGTGAGGCTGACAAGGTCAGTGGCCTCTAATTCACTGCATATAGAAAATGCATTTACACTTAATATGACAATGCAGGTAGAGGGATAATGGAAATGGTTCAAAATTCTTTAAAAGGAGGGAAGTAGAGCAAATAGAACMTCAGACAAGTTACTTCTTCCAGTACAAAAAACATCATTTGAAAAGTTTTTCTTTCTATATAACCATAAAACAGCAAGTTAGCATTTCCACTGAATGCAAGGAACATAAACCCTAAATCACTACAGAGTGCCTTTTATGTGTAATAAACACAACCAAAATGGAACACAAATCTTGCTTCYTTTTACTCTTCTATTGATCTAAAATCAAAATAAAGCTTAATGTTGAACATCTGCAGTCATTGTAGGATCTTGGTTTTTTCAGTGACTTAAAAGACTATCATGAGCAATGTTCTCTGCAAGGATAGTTACTGATTCAGTTTCAAGCAAGTCCTTTCAAAAATTAATGTAATCTCTTAGTGCAAGCCCATACTTGCAGTTTCATATTTCAGCTAGAGAAAGAACTTGTTTTCAGACAATTTGTGCATTGTCCTGCTCCTCCCACTCCCCCAACTGGAAGGAGAAGGAAAGAGCATGTGGACAATCAGCCGTGGTTACCTCTTGCTCCAGCTGAAGCCAAAGCATTTCAGATGCTGATTTATCTGGTCTTGATGTTATGTACATATAGAGTGCAAGAAGCAGGCAGGTGTCTGAAACAGAGAAAACTTTGTTCTTTTCCCAACCAGCCACTTGTTCATGACAAAAATTAATTCTATCAGGCAAGAAAACATTTTGAGTGCTATCCTAGGACTCATGGTACAGGTCCAGCTTTTTCCTTTGCTTCACACATCTTCAGCAATGCTGAGGAAATTGGTATTGCTAAACTTCATATTTGCCATTGTGGTAATCCTGTCCTGGTTCCATTCATAAGGAACTGGACAGAGATCGTTTGTTGTACAGAGTACTGAAATCTCTGAACTCAACAGTGCCATGTGTATGGATAAATTTAAAACKCCTCAAAAGCCCATTTTTTCCTCATCAGCCTTGAATACAACATCTAGAAAGTGGTCTTAAAATTGCTATCAAAAACAATGCTTGTAGAGAGACCATAAGACAAATGCTCTCCAAATAATAAYTAGAAAACAAGTTTTCAGGTAACATAGCAGTCTTTTTGCCTTTTAGGGTTTTAGYACCTTGGAGCAAGGCCTGTTTGCATTACTTTTAGTCACAGTAAGTTCTTTGTCTGGTAGTCTTTTACCTGAATGAGAACAGAGCTGAGTAACCAACTCGTGGTGCTGAGCAAGAACACACAGGAGTCTCACAGTCAGGAGCACAGCAGGCAGAGGGGTCTCGGGACACAGACAGCGCTGCAGTGTCTGGTTACTCAGTAAGTGCTGGAAACTTCAAAACAAAACTTAGTTAGAAATGKGAAGTGCAGTGATAAGTTGAAAATATATTATTTTTTGTAGACAGCATTATAATTTGTGCCTTTTTAGATATTCAGGATATACCTGATCTCAAATTATCTGCCATAAATACAAAGTATGCTGAAAAAAATAGTTACATGTGGCAGCTGCTCTGCAGTTCACACTGTAGTTGTATTACGTCATGAGCAGGCAAAATGTCTCACTTTTGAGTGGCATTTTGATGCCATAAAAAAATCCTGTGCTTTCCTTCCTTAGGCACCTCTCAGCAATCACAAAACCCCAAAATAAATGTTATAAATATTCTGATCCACTGCATGCAGCCTTAAGAAGCTTCTTCACTTTCCATAAGGCAAYAGTACGGCTTCAGATGAACATCAGCACACCTTGTTACAGACCAGGGATGATCACTACACTCATTAGCAGCAAGGCAGTAGAAAGAGCCTCGGCTGCTTTTCAAAGGTGAGAGGTGATTTCTCTCATACATGGCACAGCTCCTACTGAAATTGCATCCGTGTTTCAACAGAGAAAGACAACTGCTGAACAGCAAAGTCTGAAATAATTTTAAAGCTATCACTGACTTACTTTATTAACAAGTCTATTGTTGAATTTTCAGCTAATTTCACCAAAACCTTGAGGCTTTGGCTCAGGATATTGTCAGTCTGGGAGCCCCTTGCAGCAGAAAAAGCTAAAATCTGAAGCAGCTTTTTAAACAAGGAATGTGGAGCTCCATCATTATTAGGAGGWTCCTGTGGAGCTGCAGGCARCCCTTCTTGTGTCCTGCTCTCTTCTTTATTATCACACTGATTGTCACACAACACATTTTTGTCCATCTTGAAAACCTGTTCATCTCCAGCAGCAGAACTTTTCTCCACTTCAGCAGACAGCAGTGTGTGGACAACATCCCAGCTGTAGAACACCAAATAATAAAGAATCCCCAGTGATACAAGAGCAGTTTCTTCAAGAGACAACCTGAAGTCGTCCTTGCTTGACACKGTGTTTGTGCTGGTTCTGGAAGCAGCAGCTGAATGGGTTCCACAGGTCCCRTTCCCTGGTGTGACCCCGAGCTGCTCTGCTCGGCACAAAGCACCAACGTGGTGCTCCACCAAGGGCAGGAGATGCACAGCACCTCGGATCCTGCTCTGTGTGAGGGGCAGGAGCCCTGCCCTGCCTTCTGCTGGCCTTCCCTCAGGTAATCCTTCATCCAGAGCAATCAGGTTCAATCCTGTTAATGCCAGTTTTTGAGCTTCTTGCAGGGATACAAGAGGACCATCTCCTTGAGTTGTCCTGCTGCTGGGGAGTTGTGTGGACTTCCTGTCCAAATAGAAGTAAAAGGGAAATGCTTCACACGAGAAGGCAGAGAACAGAGTTGAAATCAGAGTTACCCACATTATGAACTGAATAACAAAAAGGCCAGAGTAAGAARAGATGTCAGTTCCCAAAATAGAAAAAAAGAGGGAAAATCATCCTACTCCTTGATACCACCGTGGAAGAGCAATTTCAAAGCATTCCTAGATTTCATTACTAATAAAATAATGTATCAGGAAAGCAAAGGTATTTCAGAAGCTACACTTTACTTTCTGTAAAGTGAAAAACTATTATAATTCATATACAATATTTATTTTAAAAATGTTTTACCAGGAAATATATCTTGGAAAGTTGCTCACAAATTACACATTACAAATTGAACAGAGTTTCTATTTTGTAGATATAAACCCGACTTTTAATTACATTTTCCATATTTTCTTCCCCTTTAACTCCTGATCATGTTCAGGTGCTTGACTCATTGCAATGCAAGCTGCTAACAGCCACTCCCAGSTGCCTCCCCCCATTAGATAATTAACCTAATTTATCTCTTAGTGATGTTCCACTGATTAGCATCTGTGATAATCAAAGATGCAGAATGATGTTACAGATTTTGCATTACGTGGCATAAGCACAGCAGGATTTACCACAGGCAATGAGCTGTCCTACATGACCACGTGTTTCCTAGTGCAGAGAATGCCACTGTGATGAACATGGCCAATACAGTTTAAATAAAACTCACGTATCCAARGAGTTGGGTGGCAAGGAAACTCCAGGTAGAGACTCAGGGTTGCTGCTAAGAAGGTGGCAGAGTCCTAGAAATGACCCAGGGACAATGGGTTGCTTCATCAGTGCATTCAGCAAAATAGAACCTGAAAGGATACCAAATTTTCTTTGGAGTAGTTCTGCCATCATCAACAATAAAAAATTACTATTTCAAAAGATCAGCCGTATTTAGAGTGCTCTAAACCTCAAAGTTTTTTTCCATTATTAATCTTCTTTCTTAACAAGAGGATGATTTTCAGAAAAAAATAATATATTTTTTAAATATTAACCAAATTGTATTTAGAGGTATTTTAATAATGATCCCRTTTTAACAAAATAGGTTGAGCCAAGTGATCACATATCCCAGCTGTTTTGCTAACAATGGGTTTTGTTTTTTCTTTACAAGTACATTTCTCCTGGTTTTATTTCTGCATTAACAGAATTAAGTTACCTTGTATATTTTGTTTGGGGACAGAKTTGTAGGAACCGTTTTTTCCCGTTGCTTTGTGCTGCTTCAGGGATGACACTTCAGGAAGGGTTATCTTACTGTCTGAAACAAACAGTGATTGTGAGGACTGCACTGCTTATAGGTCTGCATCCACCTTTTACACACACTAAGCCACAGGTTAGATACTCTTTTAACTGTCTCTATGTGTCACAATTACCAGGCAAACTAAAGCCAAAAGCCTTGCAGGGTTCAGAAGAAAAGTAAATAAAGGTATTTTTTCAAACGAACAGGTATATTGAGTRTTGTTACCATAACAGTAGCAATACTAATGCTTTAAGGCTACTGCATTTTTCTTTTTGCTGGAGTTCCTACTGCCTGTTTTTTCAGAATGAACAGTGTAACTGACAGCAGCATCTCAGATTTTTCATGAGTCTTCAAGTAAGGATTAGTTGATGATATTCAAATTTCTTCCATTTATTATTTCCCAAAGCACTAATTTTCTATCATATTAGAGCAATCTTCAAATACATGCAGATATTAATTTCCTAAGCTTTTCTAAATTAATTTCAAAATAAAATTTTGTGAGAACTACTGCCCTACACATAAAAGAGGAAATGAGTGTATTGTTTCAGTTGTTTACTGCAATATGGCTAAATATGTACCCTTTTAAATCCAATCCCCAAAAACGGTCAGCTTTGAAACCAGAAGAAGTATACAAAAAATGCATTAGCTGACTAGCAGACCAATTCAAGAAATAGGCAAATYATTTCCTATTCTTTATTCAATGAGAAAAGACAGATGAACAATTTGGATTTTTAGTTCATCAYGCTAAGTTTTTTATTGCAACCATTGGCCGCTTCATCACTGACACCTTGGCATCTGGTRTGAAGGTGTGAATTAAAATTATCTTGATGCAAATTTCAGTCATGGCTAYTAACTCCAGTTGGTAAAAAGCGGAAAGAAATTTAAGCAAAACGAAAATAAAACAAGTAACTGTGAGCTGACTGTAACTGTWCAGTCACATAGTACCAAAACCCTTCTCTAAGACAGAATGTTCAGCTAAAAACAGGTTTACCTTCTTTGATTAAAGTAGTTGAAGCCATCAAATTTCCTGAAGAACACAACAGCCTAGTGGACGTTTCAGCATTGAAGGATTCCTTTGTAGGGAAAGATCGTTTTCCAGGCTGTAAAGAGCATCCTTCTGATTTCACTTGTACCGCAAGATTCTTTTTGGGGCTAAGAYAGAAAAATGAATCAGTATTTTGTAATCAAGAACCAATTTTCTTTGCATTAATGTTTTAAAAGTACTTCACTATAAACTTTGAATTTCTGACACAGATACAAGGAAGGCCCTTTTTGAGCAAATTCCAATAGAGTTCAACAGACCTTTTTGGCTGTACTTTTTTAAGACAACAGAGCTAAGAGTTACATGAGGAAAGAAAACCTCTTCAACAATTTAAGCACATCTATTGCAAAAATAAACACAAATTATTTTCCAACCCCCCTACCTTGTTGTTGGAACTGCCTGCGAAAYGTGTTTATTTCTTTCATAGTTCTCAAGTCGTGTTCTTAATTCATTCATTTCTGCATCCTTGAACTGCAGCTCCGAGTGCAAGGACTGCAACTGAAAGAGGAGTTCAGGACAGTTTTACTGTTACCAACTCAGGTGGTTGTAACTGCAGAGTTACCATAAGAGCTCAAGAGCACCATTTACTTACTGTGAACTCTGCACAAGATCTCCATTTTTTGGAAGGTTATTCCAATTAACACTATGTGAGAACCAAGTGCCAGGAGTTCAGGCAAGAAGCCTTTGTGAGTGGCTAAGACAGACCAAGTGCCACACAGAGCATGGCAACAAGTGAGGCTGTAACTGCAGAGTCAACTGGACAAAAGCAGCCACTGTCCTCTTCAGGCCTTGCACAAAGACTGCAACAGGAATAGCAACCYGATCAGAGCCACAAAGCATGTTCTGTCGCTTTTTCCCACTGTAAAATACATTTCAATTGCAATGTTCTTGGGATGGCTTMAAAAAAACAACAAGCAAATGAGAACCTCTACCACCTGAATTTTACCCCTTTGTTTTGTCAAGGGAAAACCCTCAGTGAGTTCTTAAAAATGCTTTCTTTTAGGTAAGAAAATAAAAGCGTGAATTGTGTGGAAATCTCATACAAATGTTCTTCCTTTGCCTAAATGGTCTGTGACACCATAAATTAGCTTCTGCATGGGATCTGCAGGTAACTGACATATTTACAAACCTTTTTGGAGAATTCTTTTTCTTTTTCACTTAAAATCTGAGATTTTTGCTGTTCCAGTAGCAGGTATGATCTTTTCTGTTCCTCTATAGCATGCTCCATCTGCTGCATCGAGTCACGCAGAATTTTAATTTCTCCATTTTTAGTGAGAATTTGATCCTGCATTTCTTTCAGCTGCAAACAGAGAAATTCCATTAAGGGATGGATATAACCAAAAGAATGTCGTTGAAAATCATGTGGATCTGTAATTTCTAGGGACAAAAACGCTCCGGGTGACCCAGGTCAGAAATTCTACACATTGCCTCTCATCTTTTTCTGATTAAATCAGGCTCAGCAACTGTTTTCTTTCACATAATTGAAAATGATGAGACCATTCTTCTCTTCCCCTTTCTCTGCAATTATCTTTTGGTTTGTTTTTTGGTTGTTTTGTTTGTTTTTGTTTTTAAGTGTCTAGTCACACAGATCAATAATTTATTCATTGTTTGGATGATAATAGTGTTAATTTAAGTATACTGTTACATCCATCAGGGCAGCCAACAAACACTCTGTGTTAAGACAAGGTACCACCCCCAGACAGTCTCTTCATGACTGAGTCTCTAATATTCCTGAGCAGCCAGCACCACTCAGAGACAAGACTTTGGAGTGATAATAAAGAAGTTACTCAGAAATGCAAGAGGAAAAAAACAGAAAGACACCTCTGTAAAATGTAAATTGTAAAAAAAAACCTGTAAAACGATGATTTAACGTGGGGTTCAGGTAGGAGATTCCCTGATAAAGGTGAAAATAATAGAGCTGGGAAAGATTCAGAGAACAGAGGTAAGAATGAGAAAGGGAAATAGAGCATCTTTCCATAAAGGAATACCAGAAAGTAAGATAACATAAAGCCACTTAAAAATGACATCACATTCTCAAATCTTTTAAGTTGAACAAAATAACTCCTGCTGACTGGCTAACAGGGCCCAGAAATTATTTGATAGGGAACAAATAAAACTGAAAAATTAGCATTTGCTATTCTGAAATGACCAAGAAATAAAATATTGCTCTTTTTAATATTGTTAGAGCTACTCCTAATATAATGATTTTAACAGACCCGTGGATTACAAAGATTATTGATCAACTTGATTTGAATTAAATGCTTGGGACTGGATTTATTGCACCTTTTAGTTAATCCTGTCAAAAGTATGGTATTTAAAGGGGAAGGGAAGATATCGCCAACCTTCTGTTTGACTTCTTCATGCTGTGTCTGCAGCACTTCAAACTGGAATGCATCTCTCATCAGACCATCTTCTGCCCTGCTTCCTGCTGCAGAGAAAAGCCAAGATCTGAAGCACAGATGACGTATGYACATCACTGGTGACTCAACACCAAGGTTTTGTTATTTGTCATTGCATACATTTGAATATTTTTGTWTTTTAGTGTGATTACAAACACGTAAAATTGCCTCATCTAATCACCACAGGAACTTAGTGCTTGTGCATCAATTCTTGTAACAGAAGAACCACCCCCCCTCCCTTTCACATTTCTAATCATAGAATGGTTTGGGCTGARAGGRACCTTAAAGATCATCTCATATCCTAAAACAGCAAGATGATCCACATCAAAAGCAAATATTTCCTACGAGATAACTTTAGTTTGAATACTTAATATTGAAAACTTGTTTACATGGCAAGTTGGTAGATGCTAGCATTCCTAAAACATGCTTAGATGATTTAAGCCCTCTAAGATTCTTCATGAAGAAACCCCTGCTTTCATTTTTTTTTTTTAAAGGAAACTTGAAAATCACTGTTAATACAAGGCAGGCAATGCATTTACTAGTGGAAATTAACACGGAAAAAAATCTGAACGCCAATATGCTACCAGGATATGATAYCTAAAGTGTGTTAATGGTACTATAATTGATACCTAAAGCATGTTAAAAGTGTATGAAACTCATTTATTTAGCAGGTTTAACATGCAGCACCCATATCCCACGCTGGCATAACCCCACACACCAGGGCACAGGCTCCTGGTGCTGTGAGATCAATGCAGTGCCTGCTGGAGTTGTTATTCTCGGTATTGCTCTAAATCCCAACCATCCCCCTGACACCAGGGGTACCACCGTGGGGTGYTGGTGGCCAGGGGGACAGGTAGGAGCAACTCCCTTAAAGGAACTTACAAGAAACACGGAGCAAGTCTTTTTACAAAAGCCTGTGGTGACAGGACAAGAGGGAKGGGCTTCAAGCTAAGATTTAAGTTAGATCTTAAGAAGAAATTCTTCCCTGTGAGGGTGGCGAGGCCTTGGCATRGGGTGCCCAGAGCAGCTGTGGCTGCYCCATCCCTGGAAGTGTCCAAACCAAGCTGGGCGGTGCTCGGAGCACCCTGGGATAGTGGCAGGTGTCCCTGCCCATGACAGGGRTGGACTCATCAACTTTAAGGTCCCTTGCAACCCAGGCCATTCTGTGATTCCTAAAGGCACACCAAACCCTTTCGCAGCAGCGGGGCAGTGGCGGGCAGCCGCCGGGACACACCGACCTTGCCGCCCGCCCCGGAGCAGCTCCGGAGCTCCCCACGCGTGTCCCGCGGGCGGATCCTGCGACAGCGCCTGCGAAGCCAGGATATCGATCTGCTCCAGGTCGTCCGCCGTGAAGTCATCACAGTCCCCGAAGGGGTCCACAATCCCAGTGGCGGCGCTCTTGGGGCGCTTGTGCGGGGGAAGGCCGTTCCGGAACGCCGGCGGGGCGGCCGCAGCCCCGCTCYCCCCGCAGAGCGCGGGGCCGCTCCGCTTGCGCGGCCCGGGCAGCGCCGCCATGGCGGGAGCGGGACCCGCGCGGCCCACACGTACAGGGGCCGCCCCGGCCACGCCCCTCCGCGCGCACAGCCGCCCGCCAATCACCGCCGGGCAGCGGTCTCCGCACAGCCAATGGGGTGGCGGCGGCCCCAGAGCTGGATGTAAACACCCCCAGGATTGGCCGCGGACAGCAGCTGTGAAAGCGCCTCGCTGATTGGTCAGAAGGGCGGCGGGAAGGTTCGTCTCCTCAGCGGTGTGAGGGAAAGRTGATGACGTCAGAGTTCGAGCGGTGACGTCAGAGTTCGAGTGGTGACGTCACGGTGAGCGTTGTCCCGTTGATATCACACCGCGCGCGGTGCCCGGGTTCYTCCCGGGCACGATGGCGTCACAGCGGCTGGGAGGGCGGCTCCCTTAAACGGGAGCCTCTAAGAGATCAAAGTGTCAGGCAAGTGCAGTATTGGCAAAAGTCGTGGCTAAACCCCCACTGTTAAATTACTGGCATTAACTTGCTTTTGTAATCGTRTCTTGCCTGTTTTTAAAAGTGGACTGAAAAATAGACTTTCCAGCTCTGTAGCTCAGGTGGATGTGAGGTCGCAGCTATGCTGATAGACCTTTTAGGTGGACGCTAGACTATAGTCTTGCAGCACATTTTTGAAATAAGGTTACTAATTATTTTAATTTCTATAAATAAATTTGAACATCTCTTGATGACCTTTTAAGTGAAAACCACTATGTTAGTAGAACATATTTCTAATTCTGTCAGTTCTGATTTCTCTTGTTCATTTCAATATTCTYCATTACATGCAGGAAAATTAGATTAACACTAGAGTGTAATTTTCTTTATCCATGCAGTGCATGAGCAGCCTGTGCCCAGCCAGTAAGGSCCAAAGAAAGCCCTGAGGGTCATTGTTCCAGCTGTGCTGAATTGGCAGCAGGTGATCCCAATGGAAGAGCAGGTGGGAGCAGCTGCATCTGCTCAGCTCAGGTGCACAGAGAAGGGGCAGTCCCAGRGAGAAGTAACCCTTGGATCACTTTAGTTTTGAGATGCTGGTTGAAGGTTTTCTTTTTGTTTCTCTAAGAAGTCCTGTTTTATCCCGTTATGTACCAAACTAGGGAAATTATAGATGGATTTAATGCTCAAATCACTGAAGGTACCATTTTTTATGTTTGGAATTATTATTTTTTCTTCCTCTAGGGGGAACGGTAACATAATCCATTTTTGCAATCCACCCATAAAGAAAAGGTAGTTCTTACTTTCAAGAATGGTTTTATTTCTTTATGTTTAGAGAGAGATGCTTCAATGAGATGGAGGTAAAACCAAAATTGCTTAGTTTGTTTCAAACCTCTTCTTGTGATTTCTAGTGCTCTGTTTCCACGGCCTGTGTTTGTAGAGACATGTATTGAGAGCTTAATTTAAGCAATCTAAATGGAACTTGACTTAGGCATTGCTTCATCTTAACTCTGGTGTTGTTTTGTTTTAGTGGGGTTTTTTGATTTTGTTTTGGTAGGGTTTTTTGGTGATAAATGAATAGGAATTTGCTGTCGTTRCTATTTTTAAATTATTTTTGCTTTTAAATTACAATATGATGAATGATATACCTTCAGTTTTACTTTCTCCTCTTTCTCTAGCTGAAATTGAGGAATAATAGAATACCAGAACACTTGCCCAAACTTTATTTTTAAGAAGATAAACTAAGACACTGATTCTGTTTTCCTCTACTTYAGGTGTTCCTGCTGAAGASAAAATGATTTACAGAYGATAGGAATAACAACAAAGTAAGTCTGAGCTGTAGAATTTGCTTTAAATATTGCTGCCTGTGGAGCCCTTTTTGGGCAGGGGGATGAAAGTCAAACARTTACATATCTGCTGATTTCTTCTTGCTTACATTGAGTCTTAAATCTGAAACTCCCTAAGGAGAGCACAAGAAATCAAAGTGGGAGTTCAGCATTTCCTGATAGCTATGGCATATTTTGATTTTTATAGCCAGAATTTCTGTTTTCATTTGAATGATCCCCTCAGGATTAATGGATCTGGATGCCACACTTCAATTCATGGAAACAGTTTTAGCATTAYCATTTGATGCTTGCAATACTTTTATTTGCTTGCTTCATTTGATTTCTACTCTGATCCTCACTTTAGTTTCTCACAAGCAAGTTAAAACCCGAGCCCTCAATGTCTGGCCCAGCTTTAGCAGAATCTTGTCTGACTGAGTTAGAGTRAAATCACTGGGATAACTGGAAATTTGTGCATTTATTCATATGCACGCACACATTGTGGAAAGGGAGAGCTCTTTAGCATAATTAAGAATTAAGTTTAATAACTTATGACTGGATTTGGGCAGTTCTTAGTGCTGTAAATGGTATGTTTATTCTCAATGATAGCAAGAATTCCTAATTCCAATGCAAGTGTTGTTTCTTTGTCCCTTATTCTAATAAACTTGGATATTAATGGGTTTCGTGYTCTGATTCTTAAAACATTGAATAAACCAAAACTGCACTAAGTGGATGACTGAATCAGTCCAGGTACCAGCAGAGATTTTTTTTAGGTTAATTTCTATAGCACGAGGTACTGAAATGCAAATGAAACTACAGTGAAAATTTGCTMTAACAAAATAGCATCTCARTCCAGATCTGAGAGTTGGTTAGGAGAGGAGTAGTCTGGGTTTTGGGCAAATGTCAATACTTTTTGCCATTTGAGGCTCTTGTTGCTTGCTGGGAGAGGCAAAGGGAAATCCCACACTTGAAGGATGACCTCGGAGTTGTATGTCTGAGATGGTGGGAGGTTTTTAGACTGTGCTTCTATTGAATCCTGAGAAATGAGAGGGAAAAGGAAACAAGACAGGATAAACAGCAGTGTCCGCCTGGAGCAGGCGATGGAGCTGATGGAGCCATGAGAGGAGCTGCCGCCGGCCTGGGGTGGGAATGCGGCGCAGGGTCGAGCCCGGCTGTGAGCGCGGAGCGGCCGCGCGTCTCACCCGTTATTTCCGTTGGGGTCAATGAGAGCCGGGCCGGGCGGAGCAGSAGGGCGCGGGGGGGCCGCGTTCAGCCCGGAGGCACCGAGCGCTGCCCGGCGGGGCGGGGGTGTCCGTGCGTCGGGCTGTCCGTGCGGCCGCGCTAGTCCCGCCCCACCGCCAGCACAACAAACCCGCCCCGTCCCGCCCGCGCCGTGCGGCTGTTGCGCGGAGCCGCCCCCGGCCGCGGGGGCCGGACCGGGCGGCGCTGGCAGCGGGGCCGGGGCGGACATGAGGACCGAGATCTCCACGGCGGCCGCGTTCGTGACCCGCCTCCTGCGGGCCGCCGGCGGGGTCGGCGAGGAGCAGCTGCGGTGCTTCCGCGAGTGCCTGCAGGAGGCGATGCGCGGTGAGTGCCGGGGGGGCATCCCTTCCAGCCCTTCCTTCCATCCCCTCCATCCCTTCCTTCCATCCCTTCCCTCCATCGGCTGCATCCCCTCCATCCCCCCGCATCCCGCTGGGGTCCGGCGGAGCGCAGCCCCGCGCTGAAGCTCGCTCCTCTTTGTTCCCTCCCGCAGAGCACTACAAGCACCACTGGTTCCCCCTGGTGCCCTCCAAGGGCTCCGGCTACCGCTGCATCAGGATCAACCATAAGATGGACCCCTTGATAGGAAAGGCGGCGGGGATGATCGGACTGAGCCACGARAGGCTCTTCCAGCTCTTACCCAGCGAATTAACACTGTGGGTCGACCCCTTTGAAGTGTCCTATCGCATAGGTGAGGATGGGTCTATCTGTGTGCTCTACGAAAGCCCCCAGCCTGGGGGGAAGGCGGCCAAACAGCTGGAGAGCAGGACCAGCTGCAAGGAGGAGTGGAGAATTGGCAGATCCAGCCCTTCCAAGAGTTACAACATGATGACGGTTTCTAGTTAAAAACAACTCTTCCCTGTACAATGTTGTATGTATCCCAACCTCGTGGTAAAGTTAGATGTAACTGAGCTTTTTGTTTTTTAGTTTTTTTTTTCACCCTGTAGTCATTAAAGTCGTGGTAGTACTGCCAAGTTCTTCGTGGCCAAGGGCTAATGTATAAAGCAGTTCTTTACACTGCATGTTATTTTCTGGGTTGTGTCCTGTAAATGCACTGTACAGTCGGTGGATCGTTTTACACATTTATATTTTCGAAGAAGTTTTGGCTATTTGTAATAAAAAGCARTATTGTAGCACTCTTTATGATGGGTTTTAGTCAAAATTAGCACTTGCTAAAAAATTAAAAATCTGCAATTTGCAGAGCAATAACACAGAGGGGGAGGGGGTGGGAAACAGATCTAACAAACTGCACATAAATCTTTCCAGTGATTTGTCTGCACAGACTTCTCTCAGGGTCATTCAGGTTTGACTGTGAGGCACAAATCACAAAAATAACTTCATTTTCCCCTTTTCAAAGCATACATTTATTTGAGGGCTGGATTCCATCGCAACCCAACATTTTAGCAAAAGGAATTGGGGAATTAGTTGTCTTGTTATTTCTAGTTAATGGGAGTAGAAAAATAAAGGCTTGCTTGAACTGCTTGTGACTTGTTTTGGTTTTTTTCTTTTGGGTTTTTTTTTTTTTTTT